CTGGATGGTATATGCTTATCTTTTTTTTATCCAGGTGATGTACTGCTTATTCATAGGCAAGTCTGATACAATTAATAACTTTGCCTTTGTGAAATGGGCTCATAATGGAAGATTACAACCAAATAGAAAAGATTCATCACTTTAATGAACAGTTATTGGGTTGTTGTAAGGATTAAATGTCACACTAGAGTAGGTCAAATAGCTGACACCTGCTCCAGTAAGAGCTCAGCACATATGCCATCTCTGTTTCAAAAACGGCTTCTCACTGATACCACCACAGCATACTGTAAACCCTCAATTCTAGGCATTAAATTTTCACATTACTTTATCGTATAACAAATCTACTGAAATCAGTAACTTGCACTTGTACAACTAAATATTTACTAAAATTTAGTTTGCTTTCTTCAATTCATACCTCAAAGAACAGGATGACTTTTGGACACTCATCAAATTCTCGAAGCAAATAGGGAAAATTTTCATTAAATATAATTTGTTCTTCCCATTCTGGAAGTCGTGATTTTAACTGCTTAAAGTCATACGGCTGGGTCATAATAGGAAGAATGTAATCCACATTGTCTTTTTCATAGTAGGATGAAACAGGACGTTCACTGTTAGAAGAAAGTACTTCCATTACAACAATTCATTATATTTTAGAGGAAAAAACATGGCACATATAAAAAATAGAAATAACAATCATAATGACACAAAAGCAAAAATAATACTCTAACATCTAGAAGGACTGAATTTTATTTAGCAATTTAAAGTAGTGCATGACTCTCATCTTGCATTTACATGCTGCTAGTTGGAGTCACAGAAATAACTTACTATACAAATAGAGTGAAAGGTATGATTACATTTTCAGTAAAAGAGCTGAAATACAGCTACTCCCTCAGAAGTTGAGTTTGTGATTAAAAAGTATAATACATTTACTTAAATAAGAAAATAAGCACTAACTTTTGATTGTCATTTTCTTTATATGCCCTAAGAAAGCTAGTAAGTGGGTGACTTTTAAAAACAATCATATTTTACTTTCCTGCCATTTTCAAACAAATAACTGTTTTTATTAGTATAATCTGGCATAATGATTTATTTTACTATAATTTATATCTGGATCTTCAAGTATATATTCCCATTAGAAGCAATTCTTTTAATTTTTTTAAAAAAATTTAAATTTAACTTTTAAAAATGTTGTGTGGGCTGGAGAGATGGCTCAGCAGTTAAAAGCACTGAGTGCTCTTGCAGAGGACCCGGGTTCGATTCCCAGCACCCACATGGCAGCTACGAACCATCCTTAACTCCAGTTCCAGAGGAATCCAAAAGCCTCTTCTGCTCTCCATGGCATTGCACGACATAGTGCACTCACATACATGCAGGCAATTCACTCATACACATAAAATAATAAATAAAATAAAATAAAATAAATGTTGTATGTATGAGCGTTTTGCCTGCATGGATGTAAGTGCCCACAGAGGCCAGAAAAAGGACATCAGATCCCCTGTAAATGGAGTTACAGGTGGTTGCTAGCTGCCATATGGGTTCTGGGAACCAAGCTCAGATCTTTACAAGAATAGCCAGTGCTTTTTACTGATGAACTGTTTCTCTAGCTCCATATGTAGAATGTTTTTGTTTGTTTTCTTGTTTGAGACAAGGTCCTCCTATGTAGCCCCACCTGGCTTGGAAATTCCTATGTAGACCAGGCTGGACTGGATCTCATAGAGATCTGCCTTCTGAGTGCTGGGTTTAAAGATGTGTGCACCATGCCCAGACCAACAGAAACAATTTTAGGGAAAAAACATTTAGGATTTATTCACCTTACTTAAGCCCAGGTAACATATTAATTTCAAAGGAAAAGTAAAAGACTACAAAACCAGAACATTTACAGTATTTATAATGCATGCTTATGGTCTAAATTAGTAAACTTCATAGATGCTCTTTAGTACCTAAAATGAAAATATATGTTCTCCATTCTTCTGTAGAGCACACTGATCAGTGTAAAATGGTTGATGAATGCCTACTACACTATTCTCTGATACAAATCTATAGTTCTATGCCTATTAACTTTCAACCACCAATGGCTATAAAGAGGATGCCTACTGGAGATACTTTCAATTTCTAAGTTATATAATTTTTAAAAATAGCTGGACCTGGTGTCACATGCCTGTAATCCCAGCACTTGGGAGGCAGAGGCAGATGGAGCTCTGTGAGTTCAAGGCCAGCATGGTCTACATGGTGAGTTCTAGGACAGCTGGGGCCACAGAGAGACCCTGCTTCAAAAAAAGACCAAAAAAAAAAAATTACCTATCATCTTTCTTGACATATTGACCGGTATTCTCATCAATCACATGAATTTTTACCATTGGGTGAGAAATCATATAATCTGATTTAAGTCGATCAGTTCGGTGAATGTAAACTCCCATAACAAGATCATCATCAAGCAAGCATTTAGGATGAACTGGACTGTCTCGGCTTGTTATTTCATGAACACCATCACTATTAATCTCTTCATTATCATCTGAAACTAATGTGGGAAGGAAAAAATCAGTATTATGAATTATTTTCATCACTAGACTTACATATAATTAATCTTTACAATCTATGATTATTTGACTCTTAATAAAAGAACTTCCAGGGAAAAGAGCCAGATAGCTGCTAACCACTCACAAAGTAAAATAACTCCATTTGCTAGTACATTAAAATAGGGTGAGAAATCTTTAATTTTTTTCCTAACAAGGACAAACAGCACAAAAGAAAAAAGGTAAAAAATGAAAAGCAATTTTATCTAGGTACTTTCCCAATATAACTTGATTCATTTAGAGCTGGAATTTCAACTTTTAAGTAGGATGTTGCAGGATGAAGCAGGACATTGCTTTGCATAAAAATGAGGAAAGACAAATTGAAAACGCAACTTAAAGATGCTAGGGAAGTAGAGAAGCACTGTTTACTGCATAGACTAAAGTGTATACCACATGGACACCCTTTCACACCTGAGAATCTGGGTTAAATGTACAAATGCCATTTATAATATCATTGAGAAACATTAAATACCTAGAATAAATTTAACAAGACTGATAAAATTTCTAAGTTTATAAAAATAAATGAAATATGAGTAAAGACGCACATGGAATCCATAGGCTGCAAGAATCAATACTTTGTAAAGATGTCAAGTCTACTTAGAGAGTTGTTACATTGTCAGTGTCTTTAGCTTTACCCAACCTAGAAAAAACTCACAGTCCAGTAGACAGGATGAAGTGAGTAGAAGTAGAAAAATTGAGGTGGTATTTCCAAAATTCATATGGAAATTCAAAAAACAAAGAAAGAATAGCCTAGGCAGTGCTGAAGACCAAGCTGGTGTACACTACTGAACAAGAGGACCTGTCATAAAATGGTTATAGTAGTTGAGATTGGTGGTGTTTGCACTAACTAATGTGACACAACGGAGACCAAAAAAACATATCTACACTTAACTTGGGTCACATGGAAAAAAGGACTCACTGCTTCTCACTATATGAAACAATCAATTCCATATGAACTGAATAAATGTGAAAAGTAAAATACCAAAATTTCAGTACTTGAGATTTCAGGACCTGGGAAAGATTTCTTTCTTTCTTTCTTTTTTTTTTTTTAACTTAGATATGCTCATATTCTTTATTAGTGATCACAAACATGGGGCGAACTCCATTTCTTTAGAAGTCTCTGAAGAAGGGTGCTGCATAATTTAGGATTATTATGTGAGGACTTTTTGAAAATGTCTGTGGTGATGGATATCATGAAAATTATACACAGACCTTTTTTTTCTTATCAGCTCTTGTTAGTGTTTACGTATTTAATGTATGGCACAATGTGGCCCAGGACCATGTGTGGAGTCAAGATCAGCGTGGCCATCAAGGGAGGTGGGAACTCCATTCTTGAGAATCAGTCCTCCCAAGACTAAAATCTGTAAATGACAGAAACCTCTCCTGTTCCCAGCATAAGCTCAACACAGAGGCAAAGCCACAGCCATGCCCAACCTGGGATCTTGAGAGAGGGGCTTATGGGCAGTACTGCCACTCAGAATAGGCTAAAGCTGCTGTTTAGCCCTGGGAAGTCCTCCATCCTCCAATCTGCTCCACCAATAGCACACCATCAGAGGAATGTGGAACCATCATGGTTCAGGGTTCCGGGACCACAGCTCCAGGTTTACAGGAGGGGACCGCAGCTCCAGCTCACAGAGACCACAGCTCCAGATCACACAGGAAGGGAACACAACTCTGGCTCACAGGAGGGCTAGAAAATATTTCTTAAATCACAGAAGCCTTACTATAAAGGAAAAGCAAAATGGATAAACTGTTAATATAAACAACTTATTGTTTCAGTGTTACTAATAAGAGAGAAATAATAAGACCTAGAGTCAGAAAATATTTATAATAGATAAGTGTATATGTAGGTATATATTTATATTTGAGAATTTTTATATTTAGATATAAGATATATAAAATAGAAAAAGATCTATCCTGTTAGAAATGCACAGAGAATATGAACAAATTCACAAATACAAAATCCAAGAAGTAAATAATTATGTGATGCATAACTGCACTAGTTTTTAAAATAATTTTTTATTTAATTTTATTTTATGTATACGAGTGTATTGCTTGCATGTGTTTAGGTGTACCCATGTTGTGTAATGCCAATGGAGGTCAGAAGAGGACTTCAAATTTCCCTGGAACTGGAGTTATGGATGGTTGTTAGCCGTCATGTGGGTGCTGGGAATCAAACCTGGTTCCTCTGCAAGAGCAGCTAGTGCTCTTAACTGCTGAGCTATCTCTCCAGCCCCCAACTTCACTAGTTTTATTGGGAATCAAATTAAAGGCAAAATGAAACTATTATTATACATCCTAAGAATGATTAAGGATTTCAGAAATCCAACATCTGTGTTGATGAAGACATAGAGCAACTAGAACTCTTAAATTCTGCTAATATCAATAACTCAAATTTGGAAAACTGCAGTAGCCACTAAAGTAAAAAAAATATACATGATCTATGATGTAAAAACTCTTAGAATATTCTAAACAAAAATGCATGCATATCCTCAACAAACCATGTGGCGAAAATGTAGTTTACAATTTTACTTGTAATTGATCCAAACTAGAAAAGCAAATGACCATCAAGAGACTCATTAGATTTGTTGATGCATATTCACACAATAGACAAATATGGACAAAATCACAAAACTAAGAGTAAGCTCAATTTTATATACAATTTATATGGTACAAGTCTTTAAAAAAAGATTAAAAGGCTGGGCATGGTGGCGCACACCTTTAATCCCAGCACTTGGGAGGCAAAGGCCGGCAGATCTCTGTGAGTTTAAGGCCAGCCTGGTCTACATAGTGAGTTCCAGAACAGCTGGGGATACAGGGAGACCCTGTCTTGAAAAGACCAAAAAAAAAGATTAAAAGAAGCCAAGTACAATAAATATAGTATTTAGAATTCTAGTCATGTTCAAGAGAAGGGGAGTTTAAGGGACGCTGGGTGCTAAGACGGTTATGTTCCTTAATTTGGATGATTTTATAGGTCTATCTGGTTTGTGAAAATTCACTAAGCAGTAGAATTGAGGTAAGTATACTTTCCTGTATGTAGGTTTCAGCCACTTGTAAAACACTTTTTAATGTTTTTTAAATGAAGTCACAAAACATTATCAATTGCATGAATAAGAACCATAAATTCTAAAAGTACCTACTGTAGATAGAAGACAAAAAGCAGAAAGGAGGATTTAAAAAAAAAAAAGAGAGGCAACATGATAGAAATGAAAGGCCTGAGAGGAGAAAAGCTGTACTAGACTGAGGTGCCAGGAAAAGTACCATGCCTGGCAGAGAGATGCACTCTGATATCTGCAGTGTTTGTTGACTATTAACCATTGCTAGCTTTTAACAATCAAGGTAACTATTTGCAGACCTAAAATCAATGGCTTAAAAAAGAAATTTTCTAGGCCATAATAGCAACCTCAAAATCAGTATCCTTTTAGAGTTGAATTAAACTAAGTCAAGACCTAGAGTTGACTCATGTAATAAAATCATGGCAAAGACCCACAGTTATTAATAAAAGAATACCTTATGCTACATAAACCTAGAACAAGTAACAAGTACTTTGTAGAGATTTATTTTAAATTATATCCTTTTGGAACTAAAATTTCTAGTCAAGTTTATTCTACAAAGGTGCATAATTTTAATTTGAGTAACAAACCTGCTTTAGTCTTCTTTTTTGTTTTTTTGGGTTTGGATTTTGTGTTATCCAGCATACTGTCATCCACATTTTGTTCTGTTGAGCGTATTTCATCACCTTGATGAGAATCTGAAGTGACAGCTCCAAGTGGACATTCCTTCTTTTGTTCACCTTCAACTGCATCATCACAGACAGTTGAGGTGCTGCAAATATAACCAATGAGCCATTACAAATGTCTTATTACTGTAAGTATTAAAGGTACAACAGAGTGAGTGGTAAACAGAAGCAAGGGCAATGCTTGGAAGATGCACACATATCATTTCCTTTTTAAAAATGTTATCAGTTGACATTTTCTTATATAATAAAATCACTATCTGTCAAACTGGGTACCATAGATAATATTTATAAACATCTCAGATGCCAAGTTAAACTAAGTTCTAAACCCCACAGAATAATCCTAGTACTCAGCAGGCGTGGGCATGAGGACCACAAATTTGAGGCCAGCCTGGGCTACAAAGTGAGACATTATTTAAAAACAAACAAACAACAAACAATAACAAAAAACAGGGAAAAATGAAACAGGAAAAATGATTGCAGCCTATGTGAGGCCCTTTGAAAGTCAGACATTCCAAGTGAAGTCATTCTCAAGCCTTCTGAACAAGAGCAACTGTGAGACAATAAATGATTGCTGCTTTACACTGCTATGTTCTAGAGTATCACCAGATGATTAATTCATATATTACCATACCTCTGACGAACTGGTCATCTAGATCTAATAAAAGGGGACCTCTTTTTAGCTGACAGCTTAAAGGGAAATATCCTAGAATGCTGAAGACTAGTGACATGCAAACTGACAAAATAAACAGACTAAGCTGTCTCCTTAAAGGAGGATTTCAGGATGAAAATTATGACTTTTTTAATTGCACTGCTTCCTGTAGAGAACCTAAAATGAGTATACTCTCTGAAGTATACTTATCATATATACAAGAATAAGCATCATATATAGGAAGACTAGAATACCAAATTGCCAATAGTGAGTACCATTTTTGATGGTTGTTCTATACGAGTAAACGCTATTTGTATAATAGGAAAGAAAAATCGGGCTGGAGCAGTTCAGTTAAGAGCACTGGCTATCTTCCAGATGACCTGGGTTCAATTCCCAGCACCCACATGGTCACTAACAATGGTCCATAACTCTAGTTCCAGGGGATCTGATGCCCTCTTCTGACATCCTCGGGCATTACACAACATGGGTGTGCTTACATACCTGTAGACTTCACACTCACACACATAAAATAAAAATATTTTTTAAAAAACAAAGAAAAAAATCTATATTAATATATCAAAATATAAAAAGGAAATAATTCTTTTTTATGGGGAGAGGGGGGCTTTTTGAGACAGGGTTTCACTACAGTGAGACCTCAGATTTATGACGTAACCGAGGCTTGCCTTGAACCCAAGATTTCCCGCCTCAGTACCTAAGTGCTGGGATTACAAGTGTGCATCACCATGCCCAGCAGCTCTATTATTGTGAAAGCAGGCTTAAGTGGGTTAAAGATAGACAGTCTGGAGCTAGACTGTTAATGTTCTGTAGCTTAAACTCTCAGTTCTTAGAAAAATAGGATGGTGATATCACTTTTCCTCATAGGGTTGTTCTAAGGAAATCAATGAGCGAATTATTGTAAAGCTTCTAGCACACAGGTAGGTGCTGCATCATGGTTAGCGGTTATTATCTTAGTGAAAATACCTTCAAATATAACACTAATTTTTTATTAAACTATAAATTTCACTGAAAGCTGACAATAAGAGTGCTTTTTTAAAGAGGACTTTTCCCATTTAGCAGTGTAAGTACCTCGTTTCAGATTTAGACTGGGCTGGAACTTTCTTTTTTTTCTTCTTTCTTTTTTCACTGCTCAGTTTGTCATCATGCAATAGAGTATCTGAGGGGAAATACGTCAACTGCTCTTTCAGCTTCTTTCTGATCTTCTTCTTAATCTCCTTCGCCATTTCTTCAGCAACTTGGAGCTGGTACGCTTCCATCATCTCTTCCTTCCCTTCATTTGCCTTATCCCCTGACTGGGACTTGGTTCGAATTTTCTGAGGTGCAGAATCCGCCTTCTCTGGAGTTTCTTGTTCCATTTCTTGTGTGGTCTGGACAACAGTTATCTGGCTGCCGTGGCTCGTCTTCCTCTACACTAACATCGTCCTTTGGTTCTTCAGCTGCTGACTGTACACGCCTCACTTCTCTGGGTTATTAGTGGTAGTACAACTTGTATCACCACTTCCAGCTTTCTTAGTATCCTGAAGATTACTGTCAGTGGCAGCAAGCTAGAAAAAGAAGACATAGCAACAAAGATTCAGTTAGGCAGAGTCTGTGTCTAAAGGCAAAATAAGCTCAACAATGTGGACTATTGAGAGGATGTCTTGGTTTTAACATGGAGAGAACGATAATATTCTAGGGCAGATGATGAGCACTCCCAATTCACACTCCTAGCCCTGGATCAGCAATCGCTAAATGTGACTTCAGATGAACTCAGTTAATTAATATCAGAAAAAGTACTTAAAGACTTTTCAGTAGTGAACTAATTGCTTAAAGCTTAAATACTATCTCTTTAATGGTAGAATGATTCAAATTTTAATTTAGCTAAGAGATATTTGCGAAAACTAATCAAAAAGCCATGGAGTATGAAACATTTCAAGCTCCCCAACAGAAAATACACACAGGATATTTATCTTGTCTCACAATTACACTCTAAACCCAAAAGTCTTTACTGTAAGATCATTTTATCAATTGTACAACTAAAATGTCAAAATTAAATAGCAAGTTAAATAGCAAATAAAGTAAACACAACTTTTTCTCAAAATCATTTGAAATGATTTTTAATAGAAAAAATCAGTAAAAGGCTAAAAATCATAGACAAATATTACCAGTTAGAAAATAAATAAGAGAACATTCTCTAAGGACTTAGAAAATTAGATTAAGAAAGTTAATCAGCACAAACTCAAGCCAGACAAAATCCCGGACTGGAGTAGGGGTAGGCAGGAAGCCCCAGCCCTAGCTGAGGAGCTACTGGCATTTGGTAGCTGCTGGGAGAGGGGGTCAGGTTTCTTTAAGGCTGTGTCCCCTGGTAGGCTGACCACAGCTCTAGGGCAGGCTCCACATCCCAGAGTATTTGGGCACCACAAACTGTACTCCATTGGGGTTCAGAGGAGAACATGAGGTTGGGTGGATAGGGAGGTGGGAGTGCATCTGGGAAGAAGTAGAGGAGGAAGGAATATGATCTAAATACACTGTATGAAACTGTCAAAGAATATATTATTTTTAAAAGAAAGTTTTTCAGTCATAGATATATGAAATTTATAGGAAAATGAATGGAATTGGAAAATATCATGCTGAGTGAAGTAACTCAGGCCCAGAAAGAAAAATGGTGTATGTTTTATCTCATTATGAAGATTCTAGCTTTGAATTTTTATATGTGTTTGAGTGGGAGTTAGTATTCTTAGATGTCAGGAAGCAAGAAAGGAGCAATGGATTGGGTGGAGACCTCAGGAGAGGAGATAGTAAAACACACAGGATATAAAAGTAGGGGGAAATGTTTAAATGGGGATGGTGGATAAGATGGGGATGGAAGAGAGAGTTAATACGAACAGAATTCTGTTACTTCAAAAGCTAACCAAAAAGCATCATGATTTTTTTTAAGGAGACTGGAAAGGAGGTACCCTACATGGATGGATGCTGCTGCTGCTCCTAAGATTAACGTTTTTCAGTGAAAATCCCACTGCCAGGTACAGGATACCTCCCTAAGAGTTGCTGGCCAGAGAGGTCCCAGATGCTCCCCCAAACAATACAGGTTATTGCCATTGTTCTTGGTTGCCCATCAGAACTAAATGGTTAAGACCCTACCATCACACCACATATTCTGGTTACCAAACAGAGAAATCAGGCTGGAACTGAGCTAGGAACTCCCTCCCTGTTGGCTAGTGCTCATAGTACCCTAAGATGCTTATCTATGCAGGTTGCTGGAAAAGACCAAGTTTCAGTGGTCTTACTTGGCTGTGGACTCTGCATGCTGCAGTACAACCTGCCAGGCAAGATATACCACCGGTGCAATAGTGATGTGATTGAGGGGTGGATTAGTCAAACACTTTCAGATTGGATTTAGGGTCCACTTCACAAATAAACTTGGTCAAAAAACCTATGGTTGTGGGAGGTCAAAGGCCCTAGAGGGCAGGGAATCCTACTACTACTGTTTTTGCTAAAGCAATATGATGTCAAACTGCCTCCTACACTTCCATTTGTACTCATACTAGCCTGCTCTTAGCCTGGGGCGGTAAAGCTCCTTTTTCAGTGGGTGACGATTAATACACAGACTTGTAACTGGTCAAAGTGCTCAGAAAAACTGCTGAGTAGTTTAGCAACTACTTAATAGTTCAGTAACTGCTGAGTGCTCAGCCCTAACAGTAAACTTCTATCACCACTCCAAGGCCCAAGAAACATTTCAGAAGTAGAGGTGGAAAAATTCTAAGAGCTAGAGGATTGAGAGGAGTGAAATGTAATGCTGCTCTCTGGGTAGGGCATGTGTGCTGCTGTCATGAAGACAGCAGCTTTGGACACCTGCAAAGCCTGTGCCTAACTGGGCCCTTCAACATTCCATAATGGATGAACCCTACCCCTTCCTGAGGCGCCACTGTCAGTTAATGGTTGCTGGGGGGGGGGGGGGGGGCTGCCATTTTCTTCAGTGGTGTAGCCATTAAGTAAGCCATGCTCCAGCAAGTAACCGCAATGTAAGAAATTTTAAATAGGGAAGGGGGAGGGAGGAGGGACTGGAGGGATGGCTCAATGGTTAAGAGTGTCTGCTGCTCTTCCAGGAACCGGAACTGGGTTGCCAGCCCTCACTTCAGGCCCTCACATCAGGCTGTCTGAAACTCCAACTCCAAGAGATCCAATGCCTATGACCTCTGAGGCACCTGCATAAGCATACAGCCATACAAAGATACACATAATTTTAAAAATTAAAATTTTATAAGTTCTGAAGATGAAGGAAAAGATTCAAAGCTTAATTCTAACTGCCTATGACAATGAAAAATATCGTTAACTTTTTCAGAAACTTGTTTAGTTATGTTTCAATAGTGTTATACTGAAATGAGACATATGCAAACTTCTAATTTTTTGGTGACTATCAGAAATGCACAGCAATATGCACAAATTGTGAGGATACTCCAGAAATAACCAAATGAGATAACAAAGACTTCAAAACAGAAGATTTATGGTATCAAAGAAAAGACTGTAAAAATGAAACTGTGGGAAAAATTTTACTCTTTTCTTACCCAGTTACAACAGTTTTAGCCTATTCCATAAATCATATTATTTTAGCTCTTATATGTTGTCTTTTGCTCCATTTCATTCTCTCTGTTGTGTGTGGGTGTGTATGCTTGTGGGGTGTGTGTGTGTGTGTGTGTGTGTGTGTGTGTGTGTGTTGTGAAGCCAAAAGACCTCAGGTGTTAACCTTAAAAAAAAAAAAAATAATGTCTCATACTGGCCTGGAACTCCTCAAATAGGTTAGTTTGACTGACCAGCAGGTACTGGGACGCACGTACCTCCACCTCCTCATGCCACAGCTGGCACTTTTTTTTGGAGACAGGGCTCGCTGTAGCTCCAGCTAGCCTGACACTCACTATGTAGACCAGACTTGCCTCAATCTCACAGAGATCTGCCTGCCTATGATGCCAGAGCTAGGTTAAAGACATGTACCACCATATTTGGCCACAGCTGGCATTTAAAATTTTTTTAAATTTTATTTTACATGAGTGTTCTGCCTGCATGTAGGAAGTACACTGGTATCATGCAATGCCCACAGTGGTCAGAAGGTATCAGACCTGGAACTGTAGTTATTCATAACTGTAGTTATGAATGACTGTTAGATACCATGTGGGTCCAAGGAATTGAACCCCAGGTCCTCTGCAAGAGTGCTCCTAGCCATCTCTCTAGCCCCTCAGATGACATTTTTTAACATGGGTTCTGGTGACTGAACTCAGGTTCTTGTGCTTGCAAAGCAAATGTTTTGCCAAATGAACTCCCTAAGCCCTCTTTGAGCCATGTTTAGTTATTTTCTATATGGTTATTATGTTCAATATGGACATCCAATGGTTCCAGGATTCTTTCCCTGATAATTTTGGCAACTTTATCACAAATCAATGGACCTGGCCAGAGTAGAACATGTGCTTAATCATAGCAAGGCCCTGGTTTTCAATCTTCAGCACGAGAAAAGAGAAGAATCAACTGATCATGCACACAAGGGTCTGTTTCTAGATTCTAATCTGCTCCAAGGAGGTATATGCCCATCTTCATAACAGTACCAAGTCATCTTGAATACCATAGCTTTATAATGAATGTTACTGTATAATTCTATTTTGTTCTTTTCCACCTTGTTCTGACTCTTCTAGGCCCACTGTTCATATTTGCAAGTAAGTTTTATAATTAAATTTCCAGTTTTAAAAGTACTTGAATTATGATTAGGATTGAACCTATTTAATATATCAATATTTGGAGAATGGACATTTAATAATACTACCACACATTTTCCTTTATTTTTAAATATTTTATTATTTTTATGTATATGAATGTATTGCCTGCATGTATGTTAGTGGTGCACGTATGTCGTGCAATGCCCACAGAGGTCAGAAGAGGACATCAGATTCCCCTGGAACTGGAGTTACAGACTGTTGTTAGCCACCATATGGGTGCTGGGAATCAAACCCAGGTCCTGTGCAAGAGCAGCCAGTGCTCTTAACCACTGAGCCACCTTTCCAGCCTTCTGCTGTTTCTTTGAAGCAGGGTCTCACTACATAGCCCTGGTTGGCCTGAAACTCACTATGCATATCAGACTGCAAACCTCCTGCTTCTGCCTCCCAAGTGTTGGAATTACAGGTGTTTGCCAACATGCCCAGCCTCATTACTGATGCTATTATAAATATAAAATGTTTAATTTTTTACTTTGAAATTACTCATTATTTTCAATTTTTTTGGAATATTGACCCTACATTCTGCTAAACATCTCACCTGCAAATAAATATTTTACTTTTTTATAATCTTTAAAAACTACATGTGCAGGGGTGGGAGAAGATGGCTCGGTGTTAAGAGCACTGACTGCTCTTGCAGAGGACCCGGGTTCGATTCCCAGCACCCACATGGCATCTATGAATCATCCTTAACTCCAGTTCCAGGGGAATCCGAAGCCCTCTTCTGACCTCCGTGGCACTGCACAACATGGGTGCATTCACATACATGCAGGCAATATACTCACATACATAAAAATAAATTTAAAAAT